CTGGTCTTGGGGCGGCGTTGGGCGGGGTGGCGAGTCTTGGGGAGCGCCATGCTCTGGTCTGCCTCGGCCTGCACCCCGCGCACCACTCTCGGCTCTCCATTGCCTCCAATCTCGGTCTTTTCCCCTCCCCAGAAGTAAGCAGCTTATCTGTTGGGTGTCCTGGTTTTTCTATTAACACACCAATATATGTATAAGCAACTAACTGACCAATAAGTGAAATACCATGCCGCAAGACAATAAAAACACAGGCACCAAGTCCTACGTACTTTCTGTTGGGACGTGTGTGTACATACATAAATATATACCTATAGATAGGGGGTCTTTATTCAGTGGTTGAGCATCGACCTATGAACCAGGAGGTCACAGTTCCATGCCTGGGTTTCTGGCTCAGATGATTCTCTCTCATCATTGATGTTTCTATCTCTCTCTCCCTTCCTCTCTGAAATTAAAAAAAAAACTTAATTAAAAAAGATATGCATATGTAAATTTATAACATACTTATGCATACATATAAATATATTCATATGCATGAACATAGAAATATATGCACAAACTTTACATCTCATATATGCATACAATCATATGCACACAAACCCAATACATATGTGTATATGTCCATATATTTTCTATATATTTACATATAAGTATCCCCACAGAAGAGACATTATTTGGGGTTTCTGTTTTTATTGTCTTACAGTATGCTATTTTACATATTGTTCAGCAACTAGCCTTTTGCTGGCTCTTTGAGAGCTACCCACCTTAAAGTAGGTGCATTCTTCTTCATTTTTTTCATTTTGCTTCATGGTGTCTCTCAATCCACTTACTCAGAGCTGTTGGAAGAGAGGTTAGGAACCAAGAGGAAATATTTTGAGATCTCTGCCTCATGTTCCTACCTGTGAAATGAAAGTATTACTAGTATGGCACTCCCGAGCTGGGTGTAGGTTGTCAGTGAGCTAAGGTAGATAAATCACATAGAAGAGTTATGTGGTCTGTTGAGTCTTTCAGTAACTTTTAGTCCTCCTAGAATTTTGCCAGAAAGAGTTCTTCTGAAAGTGTGTAATTGTGTATCTTCCTCACTCATCCGGTGAGGTATACATTATGCCTCCCTTCTCTCCAGTTCTCCCCTCTGCTCCTCCTCTCCGTGAAACCTGCAGTGTCCTAAGAACGTACATGTTGGATATGGTACATTAAAGTTGGTGCAGCCACAGAAGGAAACGAGGAGGAGGTTTGGAAGGAATACATTTATTTTACTCTGACGTCCCAGAGTAGGGGGTCACCCCCTGCCGCGCAGGGCCGCAGGGAAACACCAGGATTTGGTCAGGTGGCAGAAGACAGGAGAGGGGATAGCCTGAGCCAGAGCCCATATTGGAGTTTCCATGGGAATGGCAAGGCATAGCAGAGTAAGCCACTTAGGACTGGCGAGTTGGAATCATTCCAGCAGGCTCTGGACCATAGGGGTGGACTCTAGTTGCCTGGCACCCGGCCCTTGTGTGATATGGGGCAGAGAGTTAGAGAAGGAGGTAGCTGGGTTTGTAGACTTGGATCGGTTGGTTTCCACTGCTCTATGAAGACCTTTGCTATCTCTAAGAATGGGCTGGCCCTGGGAGGGACAGTCTCTTCCGACCAGCAATCTTTTTAAGATGTCGAAACATCATAAAATACGGAAAAATTTAAAAACATTATTATATGCACATCTGGTTCCTTCTGCCCAGAACACTCCCCTGCCTCAGCCCCCACTTCACCTGACTTCCTGTTACTCCTCCCTTCCGTCTGCAATGAAACGTGACTCGGTACATAACAACATACTGCCTTTATTCGCTGGCTGGAACTGCCACCACCACGTGCTCCAGACTTGGTGGCTTAAACAGCAGACATGAACTTCCTCGCAGTTCTGGAGGCTGCAAGTCCAAGGTCAATCAAGGTGTCAGCAGGATGGGTTCCTGCTGGGGCTGCGAGGGAGAATCTGTCCCAGGCCCCTCTCCTGGCTACCGGTGTTTTGCTGTCAATCTCTGGTGTTCTGTGACTTGTAGAAATGTCACCCCAATCTCTGCCTTAATCTTCACTCGCATTCTCTGTGTGTGGGGGTGTCTGTGTTCAAATTTCCCCCTTTTATAAGGACACCTGTCATTGGACCGAGGCCCATTTTATTTTTTATTTTTTATTTTTTTAAATATATTTTATTGATTTTTTACAGAGAGGAATGGAGAGGGATAGAGAGCCAGAAACATCAATGAGAGAGAAACATCGATCAGCTGCCTCCTGCACACTCCATACTGGGTATGTGCCCACAACCAAGGTATATGCCCTTGACCAGATTCGAACCTGGGAGCCTTGAGTCCGCAGGTCAACGCTCTATCCACTGAGCCAAACCAGTTAGGGCGAGGCCCATTTTAAGGACTTCATTGTAACATGATCACCTCCATAAAGCCCCCCATCTCCAAATAAGGTCACATTCTCAGGTAGTCGGGTTGGGACAACAACATACGTTTTTGAGGAAACACAATTAAACCAGAACACTCCCCTCACAGTTTTCCTCTTACCTCACTATGTTCGTGCCTCCCACTGTGCAATTCTTCGCACTGGTATCTACCCCGCAGCATTTAGCACACTTTGTGGTAGGTGTTACTTATTTGAAGCCATGTCCTTCCCCTCCCTCCATGTCCCCTCCCCCATAGAAACACAATGGGAATCCCATGTGTACGAGCACTGTTGATATGTCTCTAGACTGCTCATCATTTTCGTCTGTGTCATGCACACTTTCTTATGCTCATAGAAGACTCAATGGAAAATTGATGAATGAAGGACTGAACTGCTTGTGGGGGAAGATGGCCAGTGTGCATAGCTGCACTCATAGCTTACTGTGTTTATTGCCTAGAGAGCATTTATGACATTTTTACTAATTTCCAGAAGAAATTCTCTTGGGATTCATTACATTACACTTGTAACTTAACTAAAAGGCATTATGTATGTACCCTGTAAGCAGTGTATCATGTTCTAGAAAGATTCCCTTTGGAATAAATTTCATCACAGTTGCCATCTAATTTGGGGACACATGACGCCTGTTCAATATTGAGCTATGTGGCCCCTCAATTCAGCACGTCTTCTTGGTTATGTTTGATCATGTTCTTCATTTAAGCTCTACACGTTATCTCAGCTTATTATTTATGATTTACTCTTTTGTTTCAGCCACTGTGGTATATGAGTCACTGATTATAACATTTTCTAAGTTGTTATTGTTAATACATGGAGATCAGTTGACTTTACATATGTATCTTTTCAATTCATTCAACCTTTTATACTCCAATGGGGTTTCTATTGATTATATTGATTCTTTCTCACACCTTATTTTTATTCCTGTTTCTCTACATTGGTCCAAAAAAACAAGAACTGTATTTAATCATTATGGAAATAACACACTTTACAGTTTTGTTCCTGAATGGTAGAAATTAAAGTTAAGGTGTTATATCTTTCTTTGTATGATGAGTCAGCCGGCTAAATCTTTACTTCTTAGTAAGCATGTTTTCGTAACTATTTCTCATTCCTCATGTCCATCATCCCTGCCCTTTTCTCAGCTTTTGTCTTCTGTCTTCTGTGTCATTCCCTTATGTTCATGGGAAGGTTGTAGTCCCTGACTCAGCTGAAATTATCACTCTCAATTTCAACATCTGATGGATGACAAAACAACAGGAAGTCACTTTGATATATAGTTTTTCACCATTTTTCCACGAAAGTGCTGAAAAGAAAGCATTAGAATAACCAAGAGACTAGCAATTAGTGCTCTTGGAACTTTCTTAAAACCCCCCAATGACCCTCTCTCTCCTATTTTCCATATAATATAGAAGCACCACTTATATATTACACCCAAGCAAAAATGATACAGTAGGGACCTTCAGAGATGGTCTCTCCGCAGAAACAGTGAAAATCCTGGGGGAAAACTGTCAGAATCAACCTTATCAGAACTCTGGAAGGGGGCCCAAGGTTTACAGCAACGAAGCAAATGCTTAGCCACGAGAAAGGTCACTGAAACGGGCTGGGAGGAGGTCCGGCATTGAAACTTATCCATTCCCGTCCCAGCGCAGCAGTGGTCCAGGTTCCCAGCGTGGGCACCTCGTCCAGGAGGAGAGCCGACCTCGATCTGGAGGAACTCTGCTGATGTGTTGTGACTTGCCCGTGGGTCCCCGGCAGGACTGACACAAGAGGCTGCCTTTGTCCTAACCCAGAGCTCTCTCAGGGTGGAAAATGGCTATGGCCACATGGAGATGTTCCTGAAAAACACCAAAAGCCACAGAATGAACAAGCCACTGCTGTCTGGGGCAACAAACAAACAAACAAACAGTTGAGACAAACAGAGGACATGCCTAAGGCTGGGGAAGAAAAGCTGGGGAGTGAGACACTTGGAGAAAAGGGACTTTGAAAAACTTCCACGCATGTGCCGATCCAGCACGACCAAGGGTGAGCCTGAGGAGGGGCCGTGAAGGACTGAAGAAAAGGCCAACAAGAGAATATGGCTGGGGCTCTGTGGATCTCCTGTGCCTGGATGAGGACTCGAAAGACCCAGCCTGCAAGCTGAGGCTTCATTTTATTTAAAACAAGAGCAGATTAACACTTGCAGCACCTCCCACAG